GTAGCCAATTATCTCATTTGTCTAAACGGACCACTGACATCACGGAAATCGGAGACTCACAAACTCACAGACATTTCATTTCATTTGAATTCGATGCATTTCAATTGCTCGGCGGGCACAAAATCTGTGTCCCCCGGGAGAAAGGCGCAAAAAACAAGTAACGAGAATTGTTCGTCTCTGTCAGCCCCCCTAATTTATTTGGCTTTATTTTATTTTCATCTTTTCACTTTTTTTTGTGTTTTAATAGTTTCTCGTCCGCTTATCAGGCTGCCGCTCTGCCTTATCAACTCGGTTATCAAGCAGAGCAGCACATGAATTATGGGGGGTATCAGGGGGTCTTGAGAGTTCCCGACTTTCCGAGTTGCCGAGTTTCCGCGCTGCCTTCAATAACAATTTGCCCATGACTAATTGGATTTATTGGCATCGAATTTATTGCGCTATGCTTATTTAATATTGACTGTTGGTTTTTGATTTTCGGTTTTCGATTTTCGATTTTACAGCATCAAATGGAAATGCAGTTGAGACGATTCCATTTATTTTGGCCCGACAAAAGCCCAGCAAAGCGCGGGGGTGGAAAGTTTTCCGACGGAGCTGGCGGATCCGGTGGGAGGACCACGAGGGCAGGCGTGTTGAGGCCTCGCTAATGACCCCAATAAACAGTTTTGCGGACGCTGCGCATACTAATGAGCCTTTGACCAGGCGCAGGACCTCAAGGAGCAGGCGGCCACCTTACAAGGCGGGTGCACAGCAAGAAAACTCCACGTAAAGTGCAATCAACAAACATGTATGTGCAATAGTAAAGGAGTTCATGAGACGACTCAGATACACCTTCTCCAACTACCAAATTTCAGTTTTAGGCTCAAAAATACCGCAAATAAGATGGATTTGAATGATTCTCCATTCGGAAATTCGAACTGTGTATTTAGTATCCATTTATGCCATTTAATTTCCGCGTTTTTCCTGTGTAGCCGAGCAGAGCGCAGTAACAATAACAATAAGAAATGCAAAGTGCAGGACGTCAACACCTCACAGCTGCCGGTCCATTTACCAGCCACCCCTGGCATATTACAACCACCCACTATGGTGCATACATACGTATCCATCTGGTTTTGGCCAGGCCATAATGGGCAATCCATCTGCGGCAACACCCGCACGTAGTTTAGTGAAACTTCCTTGATTTACATGACTTCCTTGCTCTGCCACAGCAGCTACTCCCGACTGAGGTCCTTTTCCCTGTTTTCCCCGTTTTCCAGGTCCTGGCATGTGTGATTCCTCGTCCTCGGCCTCGGCCTCGTCCTCTGGCTTAATAAATTGTTTGCCATTAATAACAATAAAAATAGATAATCTCCGTATAACAAATTAATGATGTGCGCCGGCAAACAGAGACGGCTAGATGTGTGGGGCGTTGGCGGGAAAAGGAGGCAACCACTTTCGAGGGTGGCAAAATATGAAAAGTTTTGACTTCACTTGCTGGCTACACTGCACTGCAAGATTGCGGCTTGTTGTACATATGTAAGTATAAAATATAAAAATGTACAAAATAAATATGTTTCAATTACATATTATACATACACATATCTAATTATATGCAATATTATTTAATTTCGCGTTTTGATAATGAGTAATGAGTACACTGTGCCATGTTGGCCAGTGTAGGACGGCGCTGCTTCGGTGGTTGCTCACCAGATACCAGAGTCATAACCCAGCGGACAGGACCTGCTGCCCGGGGTCGAGGTGAGTGCTCCGTGGAGGACGTGCCACTTGCCGCAGCGGGCAGGGGGCAGGGGGCGGGGGGCGGTTGGCAGGGGCGCAAGGACAAAGTAAGCGAGTGTGGGTGGGGGTGTTTGGTCCTGCTCCGACCTCTGCCCCTCCCCCGGGAGTCATGTAGTTGAGTACGGATTTGAAGTAAATTAAAAGTCACTCACACCCGGGCCGACTGCAACTCTCCGGAGTTCATTATTATGATATTTGGTGTCAGCGCCCCGTGTTGAGCCAACCCCCATAATAAACTCGCAGATAGCTGCTCTCCAGGGCGTGGCAGAAGCATAAAAAAAAAGAAACACACACAAAACTAGAAGGAAGATGGGCAGAAAAGCCGAAACTCAATTATAACAATATGCCCAGATTTTCCCTTTGGCCCGAGCAGAGGTTTTTCAATTTGTGGCCTACCAGCTACTACCTATTGCCTATTGCCCATTGCCTTCTGCCTGCGCTTGGGTCAATGGAGCGGATGAACACATGGATCTGGGGGCCATAAACTATGCCAATAACCATAACTATGAACTAATAAGGCCGCGGTGCTCCCATCGAAGATCTTAACACGGCATCAAAACAGAGAAACAAAGAAAGTGGAGCAGCGGCCAGAAAGGCCGAGACGAGAAATGCTGCTAATCATCGCACAATGAAATAAATTACAAACATTGTTTGGCTGGATGAGAGTCCGGATTTTGGGAGTTTGGCAGTTGCTAGTTTGGTAGTTTGGTAGTTTGGTAGTTTGGTAGTTGACCCCTTCGGAATGCCCGCTGTGAAAATTGAAAAGCGTTCGAAAGGTAAATAGAAAAGGCAACGGGGCAGAAGGCGCAAAGATTAACACCAAGTCGAACTCATGTTGCACGTTTATTCAGTTATTCAGAGTGTGAATAAATTAAGGCATCAAAAACCATAATACAAACGATCGGGCCACGATAAACACTTTGATTAGCGTACCGTCCATTCCGTCCATCTCATTCCGAGCCCGAACTCAAAGCCCCCGCTGCGAAATTGAAATGGAAGCAACTCCCGATACGGCGAGACCCAGTCGATAAGTCGAGAGAGCGGCAAACACCAAAATGCCCATAATTATGACAATCATCTCTGGGATCCACTGGTTCGCTCGCTCGGCTCACATCGCATGGGATCGGATGGGATCGAATTGGTATGGGAGTTCCAGGTGCCGAGATGGTTGCTGCTTGGCCGCTCTACGATGGAGCACTAATCCCCATTGTGGGGACCTTTGTTTGGGAACCCTTGTTGTTGGCTTAAGAATCTGTTACAGAAAACTTAAAAGCGTCGCTTTAATAACTTTATTGATTTCGATTAAGCGCTATAACGTAGGGTGATCTGATGATCACCGCCAGCAGCATGGAGCTCTACTTCTCGTTGGCAGTTGGGGCATTTCGGTTTTGCCAACAGCACGGCTGCATAACTAGTTTAACTAACATGTATTAAATGGTTTGCTACTAAATACTAAAATGCTCCATTAGCAGTAAAGTGATCGGCATAGTTTTTGTTATTTCAAAGCGATTCTATATAGCTTTTATTCAATAAATGCCATACTTAGACTCCTTGTAGCGCACTTCGCAGCCTGAAATGCCGAACCCCTGGCCGAAACGTCGATTGGCCTCCAATAAACAATCAGGGAACGAACAATAAGCTTAACAAAAATATTTTCAGCTCAATAAAAAACTCATTTACAACAAAGCGCAAGCCGAGGCAAAAGGCCGAGTTGGGTATTAACTATCGATGGAGCTGGGAATGGATCGACTGACTATTTGTATTTTGTATACAGACAGACAGACAGTCAGACAGACAGACAGACAGCCACACTCGTACGCACAAATAAGCCTAATGAAAAACGTGTGAAGAATGGTCAAGAGCGGCCAATTTGATTTGCATCGAAAAGTAATTGAGCCGCAAGGAAATAAAGTGAAAAAGAAAGAAATGCTAAAGCGGTTATGAACGCTCCACGGGGGCACGAGTCTGAAGAATCCAGATGAGGCTGTGGAAAATCCTCCAAATCATGCACAATTATTAAAATCCATAAACGTAATAATCGTATCAACAGGCAACAATAACAACCAGGTGAAGCCATTAACGGCGTGCCACAAAAACGCAGCGGCGGCGGGGGCGGGGAGCGTTGGGGGAGGGGGTGGTGTTCTGGCGAAAGCGCAAACACTGAAAAATTAATAAGCAATAAAATTGCCATGAAATGAACTACACCGCCGCAAATTCCCATGAAAGCGACCCGCCCCTTTACCGCTGCCACCGCCGCCCCCGCTGCGAGGAAGCCGAAACGGTTAATCCGCTGTACCGTTCCCAAGCAGATTGGCCGCTGACCGCTGACCGCTGACCACTGCCCGAATGCAAATTCAATTGACACTTCGCCGGCCTTCGACGGCAGGACAGGTTTGCCGCTCTGCTGCATGCCTCATTCTCGCTGCCCCAAAGACGCGCAGCTCCACGGGGGCTCCAGCATCCTTTCTCAACAAAAGGGGTTGGGGTAAATTAAACCAACGCCTCTGCGTTGGACATACCGACCGATTGGAGGCCTGAGTTGCCGCCTGATTAATGGGCTCAGCGCGAAAACTTGTTCCAATTTTCAACGCTTTCGTCGATGTCCACAACCCACCTGGTCAGTCTGTAATTGATTAAGTAACTTCAATAGTTGCAGTACAGATACAAATCCCTATGCCGTCGCACCCCCAAAACAAAGCATTTGAACATGGCAATTCTATTGGAACCAGTTCTAGCAACATTGAAGATGTATCTTTAGGGCCAAAAACCGGAGACTCGACTGAGTTTGAGCGCCGTCGGGAAAATGGCATACTAACAACAGTACTTCTCCTGGGTTTTCGTGCTCCTGGAGCTGCTGCACTTGACCATTGATGTATTTCAAGAGGTTGAAGGGCCAGTCGCCCACTGCCATTCCATCCATAGATCTCTGGATGTCGGAGGTCCATAATATTAATGCGCCGCATAAAGATGATGTCCGTGCCATTGGAGATCCTTTCCAGCCGTTTGCACGCCATTCCGCAAGGAAAACACTTCACACATCCGATTTAAGTGTATTTTTGATGCCATTTAAATTGCCATTTATTGAATTCCATTTCAATGGGAATTGGGTAATTTTCAGAGGAGGCCTTTCGGGGCTTGCGCATTTTTTATATATTTTTTATGTATTTATTGTGGTTAAGCTCGACTCGAAATGAAAAGGGGAAATAATAATCGTAATTTGTTGTTCATGTGGTTTTTCTCTCTTTACAGATTCGCATTTTATTGTTGTTTGACAATCAGTTTTTAGATACAATACAATATAATTTTTAGCAGCCATTTCGCCGTTCTTTGCATGTCTATACGTAATATTGTGTGGGTTCTCATCATATTTGTAATATTCTAGCCTGCTTTTTTCGACACAAAAAAAAAAAAATTCGCTTACTTAACTCGTGGATTTCTATTCCTTCAATTCTTTGTGTTTCCCATCGTCAGTTGGTTTCCTTTTGTTTTGCTAAATTAAATTACATTTTTACGCAGGCTCTCTCTCTCACACACACGCGCGCACATACACACACATTCAAACACAATCACACTTTGAAAAAAAATGTCCTTAGTCAATAGACTTCTATTACATAATTATATTATTCATGTTTCAAGCATTGCTTTGGGCATCAGCCACTCAAAAAAAAGGTTATTTATAGTATATGTATACGCAGTACAAATAATAAATTCATTTACAACACTAATTTAGTCTCTCTCTGGGAACAGGTGTACGGTACAAAATAAAATATAAAAAATACAAAAAAAATGCACTACACATTACATTCGAATAAATAAATCACTTAGGGAATATTCAAGCTCTGAACCGAAGATACGTACAAATGGTGAAACTTAGAGTGGGAGAAGTGGAAGTAAGTTGAGCAAAATATTCTAGGAACGCGGAAATCAAAGGGGTCTCGAGGGGATTCGGCCGGATCGCGATCCTCGCGTGGTTGCCTCACGTGTTGTTGAACAGCAAGGATTCGATGCTGAAGGGATTGCTCCGTCGCATGCTGATCGGCGATGTCTGGTGCACCAGATTGGCCACTGCCGCCGCCGCCGAGGCGGATGCACTGCCATGATGAAGGTGGTGCTGATGCTGATGCTGGTGGTGGTTGTGCTGCTGCCCATGCCCGTGCCCGTGTCCAGATCCCGATCCAGATCCCGATCCCTGACCCTGGCCTTGGCCCACGACCAGTCCGTGGTGCTGTTGGCTGCTCTGCAGGTTCAGTTGGTGGAAGGCCTTGGCGGGAAAGAGCAGCGGTTTCGGCGAGTCGCGCTCCCTGTCCCGCTCCTCGGACTCGTTGCCATCCATCGGCTCCAGCTTGCCGAACTGGACCGCTCCATTGGAGAGCATCGAGTGCGGGGCCACCGAGCTGGGGCTGCCCAGGCTGCCGCCGCCGCCGATGAAGCTGCCCGCCCGCGAACTGTCGCCATCGCCATCCAGTCCGCAGTGGAGCGATGAGGCGGCACCTCCACCTCCACCTCCGCCGACTCCTGTGACACCAGCCCCACCACCACCACCACCACCTCCACCTCCTCCACCGAGACGCACCGGGCTGACGGCGTCGCTGTCGCCCTCGTCGTCGCTGTCCGCGCCGCCCACCACGTCGATCTGGATGCCATCGTCCTCCAGATCCGAGTCCGAGAAGGTGCCGTTCGCCTTGTGCTGTGATATGTACTCGGCCTTGAGGGCCTCCAGGTCCACGGTGATGCCCTTGGCCTGCAGTTTTCGGGCCTGCCGGTCGATGGCCTTGGCCAGTTTCTTTCGGCGACGGGCTCTGGAAGTTGTAAGAATGGGAAAGGGCGGAAGATGCGGTTTAGTATTAGCTCATTGGGTTTGAATAGTTGGACCAGAGAGTAAGGTCTGGCAGAACCAGTAGCAGTTTAGAGACAGGCTATCCAAAAACATAACTAAGCCAATGGGTATGTGTTAAAATGGGCGTTCGCACATACCAAAGTGTACTAATTAAATGATGAACAAGAAATGAATGTAAAATGAATTAATCAATAAATGATTTATACTTTTAAAGTCAATCAACACTGGCAAGCTAGCACACATTTAAGACAATGGCTATAAGTTGAAATATCACTTAACCAAGTGACTAAAAACTTACAATGATCAGATCGTCTGATTCGCAATCGACCTAATTGGATATGCAAATTTTAACACGTTTGAAAGCCGTAGATTTTGAGAAATCATATTTGAATATGCTGCGAGTATTTTGCAAATGACTGAATTTGAATATGTTGTGGGTGATCAGAATGGGTGGGCACTTAGGATAGCTCCAAATGTTGCTATTCAGATGGTTTTTTACTCTTCGGCTTACTTACCGCTCCTTGGCCTTGAGCTCGTTGGGCGGAATGGGCTCGCCGCTGCAGGTCTGCGGCTGGGCGTTGTGGGCGGGGCGGCCGGGTCCCTTCTTCGTGTGCTCGCGCTTACGCACCTTGGCACGTCGATTCTGGAACCATACCTATCTGGAACAAAGCGTATAATCTCAGCAAAGGTGCTCGCAAAAGGGTGATATCTTAATGGATACGCTACTAAGATACTGAGATACTAAGGTACTGAGATACTGAGATACTAAAATACTAAGGTAGTAAGATACTGAGTTACTGAGTTACGGAGTTAATGAGATACTAAGATACTGAGGTTCCAAGGTACTAAGATACTAAGGTACTAAGATACTGAGATAATGATGTACTGAGTTACGGAGTTACTGAGTTACTAAGATACTCAGATACTAAGGTACTAAGATACTGAGATAATGATATACTGAGCTACGGAGTTAAGGAGTTACTGAGATACTAAGATACTGAGATACTGAGTTACTGAGCTACTAAGATACTGAGATACTGAGCTACTAATCGATCGAAACTAAACTCACCGCAACTCGCGACTCCTTGAGGTCCAGCCGCATGGCCAGGGCCTCCCGCATGAAGATGTCCGGATAGTGGCTGGCGGAGAAGGCCCTCTCCAGCTCCTCCAGTTGCCAGGAGTTGAAGTTGGTGCGCGACCTGCGCCGCTTGGCCGCGCTGCTGTCGTCGTCGCCGTCGCCGGGAAAACCTAGGGAAAAGAAACGGAGAATGAGGGAATCTAAATGAAATGGGATTCAAAAACACGAGAATAGAGTCATTAATATTCGCCTGCCGGACGAAGAAGGGGGTGTTTGCTTATTAAAACTAATTAGGGTGGTGCCAAAGCCGAAAAACCGAGAATCCAAAAACTAACCACCGCACCGAACTCCACACACATGGGACCCCGAAAATGACCCAAAAAAAAATAATATAAACGTATTGGGTACATGGGCGCAAAACAGTTTGTAGCCGACACTAAAAACCCTATAATTAAGTGTTGGAAAATTATTTAAATTAGCCAACGCACAGAGGCACACACGGAATGCATAAATATTCATAATCATATATTTCAATTACACCGCCAAAGGGCCCACAAGCGAGTGGCCCTCCCCCCTTTATTTGCTATATGCTATATGGTATTGTGGTATAGCCCCACCCACAATTTCCCAATTTCAATTCCCAGCCGCCGGCCCACAATAAAAACGAAACAATTTAATTACATTTCCCTGCTCCTGACGCTCCATTATGTGTCCGTTCGTGCCCGATCCCATCCGATCCTGCCTATAGTTTCCTATATTTAGTTTCCTATATTTATACCCGAAAGGGGGCGTGGCAAACACTCACATTCACAGCAAACGCATGCAAAAGGCCGCGCAATTTATCAAATTAACTTGGATCTGGCCAGAGGAACATGGTTGGAACATTTTGAGAAATGGGGAAGGGGAAGGGGAAGGTTTAAGGACTCAAGGTGTTTGGGCATTAGATGGCCACAAAACACAGCGCTGGGCAGTAAGACAGGTACACGAGTAAACTTACTTAAATACTTAACTAATTTGTGGAGCAAAGAATATTAGTTGTGCCAGCGATCAGTGTTCATTATCCTAATAATATATCCCTGACATAGGAGTGCAAACTACCAATGCTTAATGGCACTGAGCAGCACTCATTGAATCATCCAATCCGCACATGCCAATCGAAATAATCGATACACGGACATCGATGGGCACTAAATGCAACACTGCTGATGCAACTACTGCAATTATTCACTCCACTCACTTTCCAGGGCAATGAATGCCTGGCCTACAATGAGCCATTTAGTGGCTTAGCATTGTGCCGTCGGCTGATGAGGCGACCACTCAAAGCGCCGCCACTCAGCTGACTTTGTAATCGCATTAATTTCGGTTTTTAGACGGACACCGCACTCCGTACTCTGTACTCTGTACTTTGTGCTCCGGACACCGGACACCACCCCCTCCACACCACCGACCGCCCCCCTTTGGCGGCCTTGCCACAATGGTTAGGTAGTCTACCTACTGCATACACACACCCGACATTAAAGCGCAATAACAAGAGGACGCCCCTAATGAATGGCTTGCATTCTGCTGTTAAGTGTACCTAATTATGCGTGCCGCACTGTAACGCGCCCCCACTACCTGTCTCTTTTACGCCTGCGAGGGAAAGTAAAGACGAGAAACTCGTTTGTTTCCAGCGATTCCGGCGGTGTGCCAAGCGGAGAGAGACTAATAACTCAATAACAAAACACGGCCAAATACACAACAATAATGGAGACATTATTGTCCAGCCAAAAGCGACAAACACCGACAAACATCGAGTGAATAAGGTGCCGCGGTGCGAGCGAGATGGCCTGCACAAAGTGCATTCAAATGACTTAATAATAACGGGCCAAGTTACCAGGGGCGGCCCAAAGCAAAGAGGGGGGCCCGAGGGCGGTTTCTATTCTATCAAAGAGTGGGGTGCCCGACGACTGGAACATAATTCATGCTTTTGGCTCTTTGCGATTTGTGAGTGGCGAGTGGTAACGCCGAAACGAGAACGAGATCGAGAACGAGAACGCGAGTGTGGGAGCAAATGCAAACGATAATTGAAATTTATTATGATTATTGCACGCCCCGAGTGTGCAGTTTGCAATTGGGCCCATATGCAACATGCAGTATGCTATATGCAGCATGCAATTCACAATGTGCAGAGAGCAGACTGAAATTTGGCAACGTCGCCTGATTCACTTCACCCAAAATCCCCAAAACAATGAGCGAAAACTGTAAATGAAATACTAACTTAATATGTTACAAATCTGAGCTGCGATATACAGGTAAATTTCACAAATGTTTAAAACTTATTCACACCATGATGATGCTCTCCATTCTGTTTAGAAGCAAACTTATGGAACGTCATGGAAGTTTTCGGTTCCGGTTTAATAACGCCAAGATATTCAATAAATATTGTGCAGATACTTTCCTCTGTGAGTGGCAAAGATTGCGCCAAAATCTAAATACATTTGGTAAGGGTGCATGCAAGGAAGGCGGCAAAATCAGAGGGTACGAGTATGTGTGTGTGTGTGCATGTTGTTGCATGCCCCAGTCACATTCCGTGGCATGCTATTTTCGTTTACAGCTCGCGTCAGCCAGGCAATATAACAGTTGCCCAGACGCACACACCACACACACACACACACCCCACACCACACCAATCACCACACCCCCAACCCTTCGTCCTTCGTCCTTCGCCCCCCTCCTTCCATTCGCTCCTTCACCCGATTCACCCGTGCGAGCCACTTAAGTCATAAAAATTAAAGCGAAAATATAAAAAAAGGTAAGACAGGAACTGAAAGAAAAGTAGAAGGCGAAAAGGTGAAGGAGAGAACACTAAAAGTTAAGGAGGGGAGGGGGGCTCAAAAGGGGTGTATGGCAGAGGCGCACGGGTGGGGCATTCAAAAGGGGTGTGTGTTGTTTATTACATTCCCAACATCTAATGAGCTCACTCTTGTATTGAGTATCCGAAAGAAACCCTAATTATGGGTTAATGCAAATTAAACATTTACAAAATTGTTGAATTGCAAATAAACAACATTAAATTGTGGCCTACTTTGCGTATTATCATAATTTGTTGAAGTACACACCATTTCCCAAAGGTTGTAATCACCTGAAGGAAGTTCTTGGTAACACGGTATAATTTAAAGAACATTTTGTTGATGATTAAAAAACTCATAGCTGTGATCCTTCAAAGAAAAGGGCTACTCGAACAATCATCATTGAGAAAATCATCTCATTTCCACTGGCACGAAAATGAAGTATTGTAATGAAAAAGAAAAAACCCATTAAAGGGCGGAAATACTTAAAAAGCCAACGGGTGTAACCATTTTTGATAAGAACACTGAAAGCCGAGAATGCGACTAAATCTGAGGAGACGGGAGTGCAAAACGATTTATCATTCAGTCAGTCAGTCAGTCAGTTACTCCGGCGGAATGGAATCTTCATGCCATCATTCCGCCGTTCCATCAATGGGCCAACTTCCGTTTTGCAGCGGCGGAACGGAAGTGCTCTACAATTATGTATGTATGTGTGTGCACTCCCCGCAAAAAGCCCTTTTCGGGTTTTGGTTAGACGGAATTCATTAGGACCAGAAAACAAGACAAGTAGAAAACAAAATGGCGGCGCTGTGTGATGGTGACCTGAAAATCGCATGATAAATGATTCCGATCGCCTTATGACAGTTTCCTCATTTCCGGCGTGAAATGAGCAACGGCAAGTAAACGTCACGACGATGATGATGAAGTTCCAGCACCACCACCACCACCACCCACACCCACACCCACACCCATGTACAACTATACACCTATATAGCTACGTACGTATGCCCAACGAAATCGCAGACATTTGGTTGCATGTCAACTCTCTGCCGCAAAATGATTAATGAGCAACGAGTGCGATGGCAACCCTGCCCCTGCCCCTGCCACAAGCTCAGGCCAAAAATGAAAGAGGGAATACACCCACTCTTCCCCATACTCATCGTATCCACAATCTGCACAATCGCCGGCCTAATCAAATTGAATCAAATCAAATTAATAATTACTTTTCAAGGAGGAAGTGCCTCTGCGTTGGCTGGCAATTAATTAAGCCCCCGATCTGGGGACATAAGAACTTGGAGGCCCAAACCCAAACCCAAACCCACAACCCAAGCCAGCCAAGTGCAGTTAATTACAACAAGCGGGCGAACACGCCCCCTGCTAACGCCCCGCCTTTGGATATATGCATTATGGCCATAATTACACCAACTAGCCATCATTTGTTAATGCTAATTGGTCAATGAGCCACGATCTCCGCTTCGCTCTGCCAACTGGCAACTGGCAACTGGCAACTGGCAACTGTTAACTGACCACTGCTGACCAGTGACCAGTCCGGTTTTCCAGCTCCAAGTTCCGAGTCTCCACTTAATGGCCAACTGGGCGATCAGAGCTAATGGCGTCCCATCAATTTCGGGTCGGTCTAGTGATTGCGCCCCTCAATTGTCCCCTCCAATTCCCAACGATTTGAAAGAAAGTAAGTCGCGCTCACCGCAAACAAGATGAACTTAATTCATCGTCAATGGGAAAGAGATCTTTCTTGGCTAACAAGAGTTTCCCGGAATTGTAACGATTACGGAATAGGTTAGACAATTGTTTGATTACCCAATGAGCTCCGCCATTTAGGCTGTTCAAGTGCTGGATATCTTAATTGGCTCCTTCTGCGGTATGCGTTTTGTGTCCTAGCCCCAAAGGTTGCACCAACTTGTAGCCATTTGGCCAAGAAATTAATATCGGGTGTGAAGTCCTGATGCTAGAGAACTGGCGCCCATTTGAGGCACCATGTGGCAAAGGATCTTAGCCAATTAAAAGCGAAATCAAGTTTCAGCACGACGTGGGGGTAAATTTGTTTATTGTTTATGGATAGCCATGCTCCATGGATATGGATGTGTGCCCAAATTGGGTCTGCAACCTTTTCCGGTGGAGCACAGCAGGCGGCGGCATACTTTGTATGCTAAATCGAATCAGGGAAATCAATCGAACTTTACATAATAATCGATCGCTGATTAGCTAAATCAATAAATGTGTTTCGCAGGTAGCAAAAGTCAAGCACAACTGGCCCGCCTGATGATACAGAATGCTCGATTGGGTCAAAACAGCGTGAATGCCTGCCTGAATGGCTGAGTGACTGAGTGACTGAGCGACTGAGCGACTGAGTGACTGAGCTACTGACAATCGGCAAGCGTTTAGCAGGGCTAATTGAATGAATTAGCGTATTGTCCGTGCACCGATAACGAGCAGGATGAGTAGCTACCTATTCACATGCTAATCGAAATGCGATCCGAGCCGATCTGGCCAAATGGATGGGTCTGCCGGCGCACTCCACTGACCTCCACTGGCCAGTTCATTTGTCGATCTGGGTTGCCCGTTCTCCGCTCCCGCCTTCCTAGGTATTTATGTTTATAGCCCAATGGCCAAAGTCCCGGCGAAAGTCGCCGATGCCGGTGGCGATTATGAGGCGATGGAAATTGATTTCATGGGAAAGACTGCGGAATGCGATTTGCGGATTTGTGACGCGAATTCCAGGTTGCCACACACACGTGTCGCCGATTAGCATTCGGTAAGTAAGCGGTATTACTCAATGATGACCAGTGTGATCGCTCATTGAGTCACTTGTGCATCATCCGAACGAAGCGAATGAAATGATTTTGAACCCAATCGCTTATTAATTAGCTCACTTTGTAATGGCGTTTGCAACTCACTCGAGTAGGAGGTTTCACCCATGTAAAACTGGCTTTGTTTGGACGGCTTGATTGGTTCATTGAATTCGAGCAAACTTAGCCTTTTATAGGGGAAGATACAACCTATTATAACCTCTTTTCTGTTCGAGGATACATTTTTCTTATTGGGAATATCCAGGAGATGGCCATTTCTCAGCTGCTCAAAGTTAATGCAAAAGAAGCTAGTTAGAAAATGCCCAAATCAACTCCAACTAAAGTTGTTGAAAGTCAGTTGAACTCACTTAAGTTATTCAAGTGAGCTATTCAAGAAACACCCAATGGAGATAATGAATCCTGAAGTGTAATTAGATTCCACTCCCCCGAAAGCTAATCAATCTTTAGCTTTCTAATAAAAGATGTATTAACGCAATGATTTGCTTGACATTCCTTTGCCTAATAACTTGACATATTATTATCCTGCAGCTGTCTAATGTCCTAAAGAATATTAATTGCTTACAGTTTGTAGATCTCCGCCCAAAGCCCTAATTTCCCTAATTCGTGTACTACAGTGATGTTTCTCATTGAGCGAACTTTGTTTTCTTGGCAGTATAGCTTATAGTAAATGTTGGTTGATGAAAGTTTAGGCCGAGGAAGTTCTACTGTGCCTGCATCTAGGCGAAACGACATAAACAAAGTTCCCAAGTCGAAACATCTATAATGTTTCGCTTAGACGGAGGCTACTGTACTCATAGGTCTATCCGCGCAGGTCCTACTGTAATTGCATCCAGTGTTTGGGGCAACAGAACGCAGTTGGAACTTACCGCCATCCTCGTTGGATCCTTCGCTGGGCGGTCCCGCCGGCGGCAAACTCTGCCGGTTGCCGATCATCAGTCGGTGCTGGATGGTGGCCACTGTACTGGCGACGGCCGCCACCGCCGTCGTTTGGGCGGCACTCACGTTCCGCAGCGCCGCCGCGCTCAGTCCCGTTAGATTGGCGAACGCATTGCTGGCATTCACAGCGGCCATTTGGGTGGCGGCCGCGGCGGCAGCAGCGGAATTCGGATGTCCGCCGGCGGAGGCGGCATCGAAGCGGGGCCGCCCGAGGAAGGGTCCGTTCGGGCCAAAGACGCCCGGCACGCCGAACTGCAGGAAGGGACCCCAGGGCGGCACGCGGACGCCGTTGGGCGCCAGTTGGGCGGCGGCGGCATACAGCTGGAGGGCGGCCGTCGGATGGAGGCCCTCGGAGGGCATGCCGCAACCGGAAACGGATGTGGAGCAGGCGCTCGATGGGGAGCCACCCAACAGATGCTGACCGGCGGTGGTCCGGTGGGCGTTGGGCGTTGGGATGCGGCTGCTGCTGGTGCTGCTACTCCGGCCAGTCTCCTCTTCAATTTCCTTCGGACTGTGACAGTGACTGTGATTGCTGCTGTTGTTGTTGTTGTTGCGGCTGCTGCTGTTGTTGTTGTTGTTGCTGCGGCTGCTGCTGTTGTTGTTATTGCGACTGGCGCTCGAGTTATTGTTGTTGGTCAGGAACTTTTTGGTATCGCCCTCGGAGGTCTCCAAAACCATTATGGTCCGTAGTTTAGGCCATGGAATTAGGGTCTATTTATGCACTTTTTCGTTAGAAGGGGGAAGGGGCTAGGTGTTCACTCGCGTAGGACTTAAAAAAAAGGTGTGTGTGTGCGTGTGTTTGCTATTTGCATTTATTTATTTATTTATTTATTTCGCTGAGCCGTCGGCCGGCGTTAACCAAACAACGCGTCTTTGCACACTGATCAAATAAAACTGCACTTGGGCAAAAGTTCGGTGTCGGTTTGCTTTCGTTTGCTTTTGTCCGCCGTTTATCAGCTTTTTTCTCGGCAGAGAGCGAGTGGGCCAGTGGGCGAGTGGGAGAGAGCGAGAGCGAGAGGGCGAGCGTGAAGAAGCGGCAGACGCGCTCGCAATGAAAATTCAGTTTGAACTGAGCGCAGCAATCGATGCGTCCAGCGAGGAAACCCAGAAAAGCGGCGTCGTCGTCGTCGTCGTCGTTGGCGAGCGTGCGAGCGTGCGAGCGAGAGGCACATACCCATGCACGGGGGGCAGGAGCGTGAGCGAGAGTGGGAGAGAGAGCAGGAGCGGGTAGATTGTTGCCATGTTTCTGTGCGAGAGTGTGCGCGTGTGCGAGCGAGAGGGAAATTCATCAGCCGCTGCAACAGCCACTTAATTTTTATATGTGCCGTTTCAATTTCGATCGGCCATCCCGCTCTGCCCGCTCACTGCCTCTCTCTCCCTGAGTGGCCATTTTGCCGCGAGAGCGAGACAACCGTATGGCCCTTGGCGTATGGCACTTCCATTGGCCGCCTGGAAAAATAGTGGGAATTCCGGCTGCGCCGTCGACGTCGCTGCCGCGGCGAAGGCGCTGCGTCGCCATTGCCAAAAACGACTTGAAGAGTTTTCAATTTTCTTCAACTGTGTGTGAGCAGCGTACTTTTCCAGGGCGGAGTTATGCGGCATTTTTTCAATTTGCCGAGACATGAAATTATTATGCTGCCGCTGCCGGCGTTGCTGTCGCCGCTCTGCCGCTGCGCTGCGCTGTGCTGCGCAGCTGGGAACTTCGCCATAACCATACCATAAATGGCAATTTTCCTTGCGACAAATAGAAAATGAAAATTCGTTAACAATTAATTAGCCAAAAGGGAGAAGCGGGCTGCTTAGCCCGAAAGCGATTGCAAGGCGTTTTCTGGCCGATTTGTTGGCACTTTGCTGGCGGTTACCACAATCAATTTATATCTCTGGATAATCTGGGGAAATTTGCCTTGAAAATATAGTATGGCTGGATTTTAATGTACAAATATGGAATTGGGGATTGTTAGTTGTAAGCTGCTCATGTTTGCTTTTCTATTCTTCAACATCAAATTATATTTACTAACTTATTTATTGAAAGAATTGTTCGTAAAAAGGAAAATACTAGATATGTTGGCAGATTCCGTTATAATTTGTTAACATAAACGCCTCGTTCCCAATTTTCCATTCTGAACTTTTTTGGGCGGCTGCTGTGCTGCGCATGAATCATTCGTATTCATTTTATCGAGCGCCAGTCGAGCAGTGCCACTTAACCCATTTGCCATCCTTAACACCCCGACGCCGTTTTTTTCCTCTGGAAAAACTCTGGCCTGGCAATCAATGACATTGTACGGTAAAGACCCCTCGAAAAGTACCCTTCGGTGTCCCGACTTTCCCCCTATAGCCCCCTATTACCGCCCCCTCATCTGTCAGATGTTTTGTTGGCAGGTTACTTAATTGCTCGCCTCTCGCTTCCCTACTCGTGCACTGAAAGAAAAGGGTTGGGGTACGCAATGGCGTTTCATGTAGTAAGTTGAGTACTGGATTCCACCATTTTATAGAATTTAATAGATGTTGAATCAGCTGTCGAAATGATTCTGATTGCTTTCTCGCTAAAAATGATTATATTATTAAACCAATTTCAATACCAAATAATTCATCTCCCTTACTGCACTGAGAAAAATGTTAGTATATAATATACGATACCAGTCATGTGTCTCCTAACATGTGTCTCCAACTATACAGATTACGATCCCATTATTACCTGTGAATTAGCCATTATTGTTATGCATATCTGTAAAAACTAAATTCCTGCAAACCTATCATTTTATTAGCTTAGCATATTTCATTCCATTGTTTGTTTTTTGGATTTTATGCTTTATCAACATCGTTGATGAAGATTTCACATCCGAAAGTCGTAAATGCCTTGATATACCATTGCACTGCAGGCCTGCCAGCTGTCTTTACACCCGCATTTTCTCGCCGTGTATCCCATTGCTATTGCGCTGCTACTCCCACCCGCCCCTCTCCCCCCTCGCCTGTCACATGTGCAACGTTGACGCTGTCGGTTGGTGTTCGCTTTATTAATGACTTACAGCGCCAGTGGCCAAAAAGCCAAAAGCGAGAAGCGACAGCACACCCCCAAAAAACCACCCAGAAAAGGAAATCCCTACGCCCCAAGCCCCCGTCTCCCCCACCCCCCGTCAGCCCACTGTCCTTTGTGCTATCAGTTTGTTAATAAAATTTCCATGCGTACCGAAACTTAATTAATTCTGCTACAGTTTGTTGCAAAAGTTCGCCCCAACGGCGCCCATGTCCTTGGGCCAACCCAAAAACACCAAAAACACCAAAAACACCAAAAACACCCACCCCACCCCACCACACCCTCCCGCAGCCCTCACGCAAATCAAACGAATGAATTTTAATTATTTTTTGTGCCAGCAAAAAGTTTTCCGCTCTCAGTTTCCAGGAAAAACTTTTCTTCTTCTGTGTGCTCCAGCAGGAAATGAAATGTAGAGAGTGGAACGATGAGCGAGTAATGAGAGAGAAACATAGGGGAATTGGGGTATACTTGTATTTTTTATGTTCTTCTCAAGGTTTAGCTAATCAGAATTTATTCGAGTGAATGTGATGAAAATCGAAGTGGAAAGTGCCAAGATTTTAAAACGAATTAGTGGTTATGGTATTCAGATTTTATGTTGCTTTGACTTTGGAAGGGAAAATCAGAAAAGATATCGATTTACAAGAATTACATGGTCTCTTATCGAATATATCTTCAAATGCAACAATTTTGGAATTTAGAATTGCTGAATGCACAGAATGTCAGTATAACTTTTTTTATGTTTTACCTTATATACAATAAAACGAATTTGTACTACCCCTATAACATACAACAAATCTTTTATAAGATCTTTGACATAAGAATTATTTTATTCTATTCTATTATTATTTGCAAAATTATAGGAAACATACATCCTGATACCAAAACGGCATATGAAAAGCATATTTCAATCATATTAATTACAAAATATAAATTTTCTTACGAATACAAATACAAATTCATATCCTCTTTTACCCTTATTAATAAGCATTTATAAATATTATTTTTACTACTACTAAAAAATCAAATTTAAAAAGATTAAAAAAAAAACACAAATATGGGAAAATCTGCTGTACAAAAACCTCGAAATAATTAATAAACATTGGTAAATGTAAATAGAACTTATTGCCATTTTTTGGCATCGAGCCACAAATAAAACTCTTAAAAATAACGAAATCAGAAACAAATTGACTTTGAAAAGCCGAACTCGAAATGGATGCAAGCCAAAAACCAGAAAGGCAGGGAAATCGAATACTGGGAAATTCGCCGGCGAGGCAGGGAAATAAGCCAAGTGGCCGCAAACAACTCGGATTGGATGTGGAATGTGGGATGCTTTGAGGGGAATTTTCCGCTCAAAATGTCTCTTTGATTTGTCTGTCAAATGGCTGCAGTGGCGTGGGCGGAAAATTCAATGGAGTGGCGAAAGGGGAGTGGCATTTGGGCGGCATGGCGATATGGACGGATATGAAAACCAAGGGAATGACAGGCAGGAAATTGAAGAACTGCTCCATGTCATTTGGAAATAAGTAATGGTAAGTGGGGATACCAAATTGGCGTGGAATGCTGTGCTCCAATATGCGTACTTTGCATCTGCTTTGAAAGCAAATTTACGACGAATTCTATTCTTGAACCTTATCTAAGTAAAGCAAACGCAAAATCTTCGAAAATGTTGCATTAACTGTTTTATTTAGTTTAAGAAAAGTTGAGAACCCTTTTTCTATAATATTATATTTAGCTAAACAATAAAGCATTCGAATTTCAATAATACATACATTTGTAGATACGATTTTATAAATAGTCCTAGCTGAATGGAAGAATATGGAATAAATGTAGTTGTTAAGGTCTTCATATATCATATATCTATATCATAACCTTAAGGTATAATCCATTCATTGAACATCTAATACCTAATCACACGTACATTATTTTTAACATTTACCACGAGTGAAAGTTTGATAAAACGATTTCGTTACATCCGAGACTTACCTTCATAGTTCAGTAACATTTACTGTAAGTCCAAAAATGTTGAAAAAATACTATTTTCTAAAAGGTATTTATTCCATTAGCATAATAATCATTACTTAAACGATACAAATACACCAAAAATACCTGGAAGTGAAGTCCACTTTGTTACGAGGCTACCCATTTCGTATATCACAGCCATAAAATCCATTTCGTTGAGCAAAACTTTGATGGAATTCCATTGGGCCACCCCTAATAAATGCAGTCTGAATTGTGACAGTTGTGAGTTCGATTTGAGTTGGTCCAATTAACGAGCGTGTTAATTGGCCGTCATTGGGACAGATAGAGCATAACCAGCGTGTCAACCGCACATCATATTGTGGCCATCAAATAGGGCTAGTGCCACGCCCACTCAACCTGATTTGGGCATTATGACGCCGAGCGATCAACAGATGCAGCGGAAAACAGGAGTCAGAAATCAGGATCAGGGCGCACATGTGTCGCTAATTTTGGACAAACACGCCCACTTTTCCCGCAGAGAAAACAATAAAACAGAAAAAAAGAAAAAAAAATCAAAACAAAGAACACGGCAACCCCCTTGGAAAACTCCGACCATGAAAACCAGGAAAACTCCCTCCTCTGCGTCTTCTGTTTTGTGCTGGCAAAAGTCAAGTCACACAAAATTATGGCAATTACGCTAAGCAGGCCATTTATTTTTATGAGCCCACGAATTATGAATAATTGCAAGTAAAGCACACACAAACTAAACGCGAGGGGGGAGGCGTGGTCTTGAATGGGTGGGGTTGGGGGCCCCCATCGTTAGCAGACATGTTCGAAAATCCATTTTGACATTCGGCGCTGACATAATGAAAAACCGCATTCGCATGCCGGCAGTTTCCTCGGCGATTTCATCACGGATCGAAGCCAATCTGCAGACCCTCCCACGCACACAGCCACACATAACACCCCCCTTTGCAGGGTGTGTGGATTCGTCATTAGGCTCATAAAATTACAATGCCTGGCCAACACTGACTCACACACACACTCGAGTATGCATATGTATTCACACAGCGAGACAACCAGCAATCTTGACAAATGACGAACAAGAAAGCTGA